GGGGGATAACGAGAAATTTTTTTTTGAAAAGAAGGAAATGTAGGATACATTTAAAGAAAAAAGAAAAGTGGGAAAGGGAGGAAGGGGGGTGCAAGAGAAAAAAGACGGATTAGGGCTGGGCACACCAAAAATACTTCAAAAACCTACAGCTTTCCAATTCTTTAAAACCTTGCCACCCTAGAATTACAAAATTCTGTCTGCTCAGTACCTAGTTTTGAGAAATTTGATGTCAACAATTTTGAGTTTCACATCATGTCAAACTTTTTCAAATGCACTTCTTTAAATATCTTGATAACGACTCCGAATAATCTTACGATTTCAATGGATCAGATTTAACATCTGGTTTCTCATCTCATTGTCTTAAATCTCAAATGGCCAAAAATGCCAGCTAGAACTCTGTATTCTAAAATAGCGACCTGCCCGATTTTTTGACCACACATGAAACGCATACACTGGCACATACATGAATAAATACATAGTATATTGTCGCTTTGAAGGCCAAGCGGGCCAACCCAGATTTCGGGGGTTTCCAGAAATCTTGACTTTAACCAAAAGTGGGCATTTCCCTACCTGTAGGAGAAGTTTAGTTTCATTTGTGTTTGTTTGGTTGTAGAGGAAACTCTCCTTGTCTTTCAAATAAACTGAACAAGGGGCAAAAACTTTATCTTCGATTTTGTCAACACAGCATGTTTCGGGATAGCCCCATTGTGCTTAAAAGCGACCATGTAATATCTGTCTCCCCCGCTCAATATCAGTCGTATGACGTAGTGTGCTCTAACAGCTACGAGGATCGAAAGGCAAAAAAGTGACTTTCCATGAATGTTTTGTTTTTTGGATCAATGAAAGTTTGATGTCTTCTGCTTCATTTAAGATTTAAAAAATAAATGACTATAATCGACTATAAATTTCAAGTCTTTATCTCATATCTTAGACCCCCATTTCTATGGAAACATGTTGCTCAACTTCGGAGGCCATTTTCTCCTTTTCGTGTTTCCTCACCTCGCAAAATTGAAAGTTCTGTATTTTCGTCAAATATGGTCATATTTTCTTCATTCTCGTTTTATATTGTAGGGAAAGGGTGATAGTTTTTAAAAATAATGTTAACTCAGTTTTGGAATCTCCTTCATATGCTGATATTGACCGGCAGGGACACATATATGATAGTATCACTGATGTGCTTGCAGTAGAATGCTCGTAACGTGAGTAGCTGTACGTCACTTGAAAATTTAAAAAGATACAATTATGTGGCTCATTGTCTGCTGCTTAAAAGCATTTATTTTTTCTCAAAGGAAAACGACGCAAGTGAACAGGCGGTACACAATACTTCTGCATTGGCAGACAAATGAAACATATAGAAAAGAAGAAATACATCGATAGAAAAGTATTTTCAGCTTAGAATAACATAAATGGAATGACAGCTTACTTTTCCAGTGCGTGTATTACTGAGCGTATGTTTTGTTTAAAGCTGCACCGGCAGACACATTTTAATGGAACATAAAGAAAAGAAAAAAAGTAGAAAAATAATTTCAGGTTAGAATGACATTTACGAAATAACAGCTTACTTTTTCAGTGCGGGTGTTAGTGAGAGCACAGGTTGAGTAGCGCTGATGTTCACACAACTGCTTTGTGCTGACTTTTTTTGCTCTTTATTCCTGCATCATTAACAAGTACCTTTCAATGCAACAGCAGGTAATCTGTTGATCATTGTACTATTTTAAGGTGTGTATACCATCAACTCAGTCTTCTGCATTTATTTTCTTCGAGAACATTGTCTTCGATTTTATTGTATTAAGATAAGATACATCTTTATTGTTGAGATCCTGGCACATTGGTTTGGTGTTTCACCACGTACACACACACACACACACACACACACACACAC